GGTAGCACCTGTTAGGGTCCCAGCTATGGGCAAATAGTTAACCCCTAAACTCGGGTCAAAACACTATGAAAGTGAAAAAACAGGTTTTAATACCAGAAATACTTTGTAAAGAATTATTACCAGCAATAAATTTTCGAAGAAAAAAATTATTACCAGCAATACATTTTTGAAAAAAAAAATATTACCAGCAATATTTTTTTGAAAAAAAAAATATTACCAGCTATACATTTTTGAAAAAATATTACCAGCGATACATATTTGAAGGAAAAATATTACAAGATATGGATTTTTGAAAAAAAAAAATCACCAACAATAAAAATTTTGTCGGCATTAAATAACCCATTGAAACTGATATGCCGTAAAGCAAAGCAAATCAAAGTAATCAACAGTCGCCTTTGCATGGAATACTGCTGCCATGGTCTGGTGATCCCGATGTTCATCTGGAGGTCGTCGACAATATCCAGAGACGGATATACAAGGTGGTTGGTCCTGATCTGGCATCCCGTCTGCAGTCACTTTCTCACAGACGTGCTGTGGCTTCCCTCTGTCTTTTCTAAAATTACTTTCATGGCAACTACTCCGGTGAGGTTCTTTTACTGGTTCTCAAACTGCACGGGATCGGAAACCGACCTTGTGTCACATGTTGCCCCAGTGGAGGGGGTGACTGAATATCGTCAGTCAGTCGTTCAAGTCGATCGGCTGATCGGTTGAACTCTCTGCCTTCGGGCGGGGAGGAAGCCGAAGGCGGCTACGCCGAAGGGCTGATTCTCTTTCGGAGAGGTAAACCGACCCTGAACCCGTTTATACAGGTTCAGTGGGCATATTTTTGGCCGAGCCCACGGCTCAGAGATCCCACGTTAAACCGGCCTTGTGCCACATGACGCCCTTGTGGGTGGGTGACTGAATATCGTCAGTCAGTCGTTCAAGAGTGAGTCAGTAGTTCAAGTCGAGTCAAGAGGCGAGTCAGAGGCAGTCCGAAATAGAGTCGCGTTCTGACAATTACTGCAAGACATTGGAATAATGGTACTAGTCGAGACTACATTGTTCGTACTACCACTTCTACTTCTCCGTATATATTCCTGTTTGTAATATATCTGTGTTACTCCATACCTGTTTTCGAGTTCTTCTTTATTGGTTCTATCCTGGATTATCACCCGGGGTACAAGGAACCGAGCCATAACAGTTACATTCACTTACGCACAAATGCCCCAGAGAAAGGTATGAATCCTTCTCTTCTCCTCCATCTATGAGTAAACAGCCGGACAGACTGAGTTCTATAGCCTTGGATAGCAACCAGTATAGGAGATGGACAATTCTGTATTCAAGACCTCTATACCTCAATTGGCGTGATGAATACAGCTACGCCCGCTGAAGATATGGTCAATCAGGGTGGGGTTCCCCCAAGGTAAGAAAAGGCAGTGGATCTGTTCCAATGAGGTTTCATCCCTGATACATTTTCTTTTTCTTGATTTAATTTCCAATTTCTATAGATATTTGTTTCTTAGAGTATGGATTATTATTTTTTTTTTTTTCGTTGTTAACTGTTTAGTGATTTCTTCCATCTTTTTACTTTTCTTTTGTTTGCTTTTCGGATATCAGTCTTTTATTCCAGTGGAAATGTCCTTTTGTCTTGATAGTTTAGGAATTGCTTCATGCACTCCAGTTCAAGAATTGTATTATGTGATTCTGTCATGATACCGGGATCAAAATTTCGCGATTATCTTTTTCTGAATTACCATAAAATGCTTTTTTACATCATCATTTTAAGATTACGGATGTTGTACATAGGTATCTTTTTTATTTACTTAAGTGGAAGCGATCTATCTTATTTGTTTTTAGGTTAGTTACCGAAAGTCTGTGATCAGAATAAAACTCTTAATTATATACTTGAACAAACTGACTGGGCCTGAAATCTAAGATGCTGAAATCAATAACCTTTTTGCTTATTCTGTGTTCGGCCAAGTTAGACGATGTTTCTGTAGGATGATCAAACCATGTATTTAGGTGTGGAAATTCTCTCGAATAACCAAAATTTGATAAGCGTACCCCATTGCTGTTTGTGGTTTCATAGGTTGATATCTTTCCATCAAAGAAACGGCAACGTTCCAAAACACTTGAGGTAACATTCAAATTTCCATTAATGTGTCCTTTTTCTATTGGTTTCTATTGCATAAATTTAGTTAAAGCGTTATCTTTATGAGATAAAACATTTTTTTTAACTAGAGCATAAGTTGATATTACTTGGATTTTACAGCCCCGCCCAACTATATCGAGAGCCATCAGTGTTTCTGGACTGCTGTAAGGTATTGTCTACAAGAAATATATGTGTTTTGCAATTCCAACGCCATGTTATTTTTTCTCCATCAGACCAGTCCAACAGAAATCGAATCTTAACTGTAAAAATGCTTGTTGCATTGGTCAAGAATGAGATTTATCCTCATATCACCTGAGCCTGATTGGACATTGATTTGTTCCGTTTTTCAATGGAAATCTTTTCTCAGACGACTGTTTCGTTCTTGTCGGCTGGCTGACTAAACCTTTCCTTACCAGTAGTCGAATTTTTGAACTCGCCCTGATGAGTCGTCGAGGTTCGCCTCCATTGCTAACTTGCGTGGCGGGCGATACAGTATTCGATTAATTCGCCCTGTAAAATCGATGATATATAAAGTATATACATGTCGTGGACAGCCAAGATGATTGAATCTGCTAACCCATGGCTGGATAACATTTCCTTCTTTCTTTCCAACACACACACACACACACACACACACACACACACATATATATATATATATATATATATATATATATATATATATATATATATATATATATTAGTGAATATACATAATATTCAACATCGATAGCGACTCGGAATTTCATGCAATTCTTGCTATCTTCTGGTGCGGAATATAATCTGACCGTTATAGAGTTCACGTTTCTCGTGATGATGATTCAAAATTGTGTATTAAAACTTGTTTATTTAATTGTTGTTGCCTAAAATATTAGAATTAATTATTAATAATTTATATCATTCAAAATCTTAAGTTCGAAAGGCGAAGAATTAAAGAAAAATAATTATAAAAAATTATTAAACTTAAATTTCGATTCAAAAGTAAACAAGATGTCAAGGGGGATAACTCACTTTTTTACATAAAATACCATAGTTATTCCCGTTAACTTAAACTAGTACTCGGAGTGTAAATATAATATAATGGTGCAAATAAAAAATAATAGGTCGAGACTATATAACTAAGGTGTTTGGAATCAAGTCGTATACTAATAAAGGTGAAATTATATGTGTGTATAGATATTAGGTTGGTGCAAAAATAATGACGTAATAATGTCGTTTTTTGACGTATTTTTTAACGTCAAAAAAACGACATTATTATATCATTATTTTTGCACCAACCTAATATATATAAAATGTTATTAATGACGGAGTCTAAGAATAATAAAGTTCGTAAAATCTACTTTGCAATATTTTTTATTCGTGTTAGAGGAGGTGCTTGAATTTATAGATATATGTAGACATCAGTTAGTATCACACCGAGAACGCGAAATCTGTAACTACGTTGTCTTAGTGTGTCCAACATAAATATTTTTACCGTTGGAGATATTAGGTTGGTGCAAAAATAATGACGTAATAATATCGTTTTTTGACGTTAAAAAATACATCAAAAAACGACATTATTACGTCATTAGTTTTGCACCAACCTAATACATTTAAATTTATGAACAATGCCGGTTTTCTGCAACACGTTATTATGTGGGAAGGAGTCTTTACGAATGATTGAATTAGATATACTAGATTTAGTGTAGTATATAATTAATTTTATTTTTCTTACTAGGATCTGTGGTGTATATATTAGTATTTATTAAATTTTGAGGATATGTTTGTCTTATTTATAATTAGAATGTATTTAGTTGCGATATAAAAGATCAATCTGTTCAAGGTTTATCGAAGAAGTATTATATTCTATTTGCTTTATATTAAAATTTCTGATAGAACATCTTATTTGCTCATCAACTATATAATTAGCAAAGTTTTTATTAATAAGAGTTTGTTTTATAATTTTTTAGTTCGCTGTGGAAAATAATAAACATAAATTAAAACTCTCGGAGCTTTCTATATTGAAAAATTGAAGCCAAACCTCAAAAAAATTAATTATAAATATTGCACAAATGCTTTAAAATCTGGACAAGGTTCCACTAATAGGTTTAATACTTATTTTCTAAAAATTCTCGACAAACTATACTTAGTTACCTCCCCTGAGGCAGTATCTAGCGATCACGTACTGATTCAGCGTTCTTCACTTCTCAAGTAAAAAAAAAAAACTTTCAGATGAACACAGCAATTTTTTCTTTGAAAATGATGAACGTTACATTATTTGCCTTGAAATAAACAACACCCTGATGATGACAATGTGGAAAGTACTCGGAATAAAATATGTATCAACACGGCGATTTTCTCTCTTCCATTAATAATGACACCAAAAAAAATCTTGTCCGTGAGTAAGAAAGGATTCAATTGAAAATAAGAGACAAAACTTGTCTAAATTATTCAATGAAACACGTCTCAATTAAAACATGCTGCCAATATATATATATATATATATATATATATATATATATATATATATATATATATATATATATATATATATATAAACAAGTTTGATTAAATAGACCCAACACAGTCTCATTGATTTTTGTTTTCGAATAAGTTGTTATGTATTTGAATCAAAATTATGAATAAACTGTCCGTAGCTTGTCTGTGTTGTTTTTTGTTTTTTGGGGGTTTTTGTTCAATAGTTTCTAGCGTCTCAGTCATGTGGTTTCTGTGTGGTATGTAAGATTTTTGGTTACACATGTGGCCACCGTGTACTATTTTAAGCTTTCAGCTTTCCAAAGAATGTCAGGATGTAGCCAACTTTCTTGAAAAATTCCTCATTGTTTACATGCTCTGTTCATGGTATTCACGGAATCTTCTATCAAACAGCATCTCTGTTGCTTCAAGCCTCCTTTTCATCTCTGGGCATTCATTCTCATGCAGTGGGGTAGGAATGATATTCCATTTTCTGCCAGGATAGATAGATAGATAGATAGATAGATAGATAGATAGATAGATAGATAGATAGATAGGTATAAAAACAGACTGAGATAGATAGATAGATAGATAGATAGATAGATAGATAATGAGCAGTTTTTGAGATACATACATACATACATAGACAGAATATTCAACCCCCTACTGAATATTTGCATATTTTCTAAGGAAATGTGAATATTTGCAAGTACTTACCGAATTTACCATAAATAGTTGATTCCGTATTTTAATAATTCGTGTAATTTTTCGAAGCTTCGATCGATTACCTTCATAGTTATATATTTTTCTAAAATTTTTTGCAGTCCAAAATTACCCCCCCTTATGGAAATTTTTAAAATGTTCAAAAACAACACATCCTACTGGGAGCCATGTACAATAGAGAAACGAATTGGGAACGTGATTTACATAATTCAGGGTCCGAAGTTCTCGCATAAAAGGCACTTAAATCAGATCAGAAAGAGGCTGTTAGAGCATTCTAACGGTCTACCTCAGGAAGAGGAGGAAGTAATGGACACAATATTTGACACCTTCAATATGCAAAGGCCTCAAGCAATTTCAGAACCGCGGAAATCAAGCAGAAAAAGAAAATTTACAAGGCCTTTGAGGATTAATCAGAAGAGGAAAAAATATTAAAAACCCCTGCGAGGTAAAAGCTTGGGAGTGGGGTGTCATGGGTCCTTACCTATAACTACAGAATGAACTCTTCCTAACACTATGTATACTACGCCTCTCAAGAGAGAGGGACGAATTGAGTCGAGCCGATAGTAATTCACTCCAAACCAGACTGACAGTCATACTAACACCTTCCACATCTTGTATTATTATTTCGTGTAATATACCTTCGTTATTTCTACTCTTGTGTCCGTGTTGTTCTTCCTTGGACCATAACAGAAATTATTTGAAATTTAATACAAACACCATTTGAAAATGAAATAGCGTTGAACTGATTCTACATTTTAAAATGTAATGAAGACAATATGTGAGTGCATACGTACCGCGATAACTCATTCATTCTGCAACCATGGCGAAGATGACTAAACTTAAAAAGAAGCTCCGAATGAAGACAGTTGATGCGTACAAAGAAGGTGATGGATATACTGCCATTTCCAGGCGTTTAAATGTTCCTAGAATGACAGTTCGTAGCATTATCAAGAAATACAACGAGACTCATTGTGTTGGGAATAAATTAAGGACTGGCAGAAAAGGTTTAATTTCTGAGAGAATGGAAAGGAAAATTGTAAGCGATCTCTCTAAGAATCCTCACTTAACAACAAAGAACATTGCCAGTGATATAAAAACATTAGGGTTGAATGTATCGACAAAAACAGTCACTAGATGCTTTCATCGAGCAGGACTTCGAGCTTGTCACCCAAGGAAAATACCCAAGTTTAAGTCTAAACACCCAAAATGCAGAATAGCTTATACTAGAAGCCATCTAAAACATGGGAGTAAATACTGGAACCCTTTTTTATGGTCAGCTGAAACCAAAGCAGAATTATTTGTTAACATCGACTCCCGTTATGTACGGAGTAAAGTGAATAAATCTCAAAAACCAAAACATACCCTCCCTAAAATTAAGCACGGTGGTTGTAGCATTCTGCTCTGGGGATGTTTTGCTGCTTCTGGACAAGAAGAACTAGTGAGAGTACAAGGTATCATGGATTAATAGAAGTATTTGGCTATTCTTAAAAATAATATAAAACAAAGTGCATGAAAGCTGTCTTTAGGGCGTTGTTGGATGTTCCAATACGACAATGAACCGAAAGACACAGCACGAATTATTCAAAATACATAGATGACAGTAAAGTTAAGGTATCGGTGTACCCTGCACAAAGTCCTGACCTAAACCCCATTGAAAATTTATGGGCACATTTGAAGAAAAATTAAGAGAAAGGAGTCCTTCTAATTTGGAGGAACTAGAAGCTATTGCCAAGGAAGAATGGAGCAAAAATACCTATCAGTGTGTAGAGATCTTGTAAGGAAATATTAAAAACAATGAAAGGCAATAATTAAGAATAAAGGTTACACAATTGCTGCAAGAGGTCCAATCATTTTGTCTTATTTTAAATGTTTTGGTGGTTTTTTTTTTTTGTTTCATAGTAAAATAAACATTTAGTTGTGAGCATCACTGCACATTTTTTCAAATCATTTCATCATTTTTTAAAAAATACACATGAAATATTACAGCTTTATTTGTAATTATGGGAGGGGTGAATAATTCTGTCCACAACTATATATATATATAGATAGATAGATAGATAGATAGATAGATAGATAGATAGATAGATAGATAGATAGATAGATGTATATGCATTCGTAGATATGCGCAGTTTCTGAGATAGGTAGATGGATGGAAAGAGAATTAGATAGATAGATAGATAGATAGATAGATAGATAGATAGATAGATAGATAGATAGATAGATAGATAGATAGATATTAACAGAATTAGATATACATTCATAGATATGCGCAGTTTCTGAGATAGGTGGATGGATGGAAAGAGAATTAGATAGATATTAACAGGACTAGATAGATAGATAGATAGATAGATAGATAGATAGATAGAGAGATAGATAGATAGATATTAACAGGACTAGATAGATAGATAGATAGATAGATAGATAGATAGATAAAGACGTGAGACCTGCTTTGTAGCTGAGCCAGTTGCTTATTGCTTACTGGTACCAGTACCAAATGTTAAGACTGAAATAAAGCATGCTCAGCGCACAGTAAAAAGATAATTAAATCAATAAAAATTAAACCCACAAAAACAAACACATTGAGGAACACATTTTAATCATTAAAAAGATAAGATAAAAGACAGTTGACAAGGAAATGCTTTTTGCACATTTTTTTTCTTCAACAATTTTGAGCTTTCTTCCCAAGGGAAAAAAGACAATTTTAAACAAAAGAAACAATAAATTCATGAACTACCAAAAAGGACAATAATAATAATAATAATGATAATAATAATAATAATAATAATAATAATAATAATAATAATAATAATAATAATAATCAGATATGAGTCAAGTTTTATATTTCAATTCATTCAAATAAAAGCAGTGAAAATTAAGAAGGAATGTTGAAAATAAAACAAAAGAAAAGTCGGTCGGCCATTCTTTGTTCACGAATCTTATAAATGTCGGCTCCCAGGACTTCGTTTTCAGGAAATAACTTTATTATGGGAAGTCAATCGTCTTGAAAATTAGTTGTTTGTGCAGTAAAAAAAAAAAAAAGTAAAAAAAATATTTTTTAAAAAGTGTACTAAAATTTTAGGAAAAATAATACTTTGCAGCAACAGCAGCAACAACAATAACAGCAATAATAATAATAATAATAATTCAAAAAAATTGTTTTCATTTATTTATTATTTTACATAATTTAGCTATTTCCTCTGACTAAAACCAAAAAAAAAAAGAACGTCCTTTTATGTTTTTTTGAATATTTTAACTATATTTCTTAGTTTATCAAAGAGTTACTACATTTTTTACCGAATGAGGATTAAATTAACTAAACTAACGATAGTCACAATATACTGGCTGTAACAGCAAAATTGTTCAATTGTTAGACTAAGTTTGAATCGGTGTATCTTAGAAATGATTAAAGATATCATACTGGAATTCTCCGAGGTTTTATAACACTACTGGACTCTACTTTGAATAATACGAATGGACTTAGCTCTAAGTTGAAATGATGATCCTTCTTCCTGTTGTGACCCCCTGATCCAGTTTTCCTCTCTACTGTTCCCTCTTTTTTATACTTATTCACCGTTCTCTTGATGGTTCTTGAATGGAATTTGAAGATGGAAGCCAGAGTATGAATGTTGGTACTCTTACTTAAGGCCTGAATAATCTTTTTTTCGTCTCAATTGGGAAGTCAAAGTGGGTCTGACACAAAACGATTTTAACCTGTTCTCTTTCTAGTTGAATAACTCAAAGTGTTTTTCAGTGATTCTTACGACAAATGGTGTCAAGTTGGCTAAACGTCTTATCTGAAAATCTGGAAAAAAGAAACTCAATTAGTTTAGTAGTATTTTAGTTATGAAACATTTTGCGAGATGGACAATTATTCCATGCTGTTACATGATTTGTAGAATTTTGCTGTTTCAACTGGTATACATATATATAGAAAGAAAGAAAGAAAGAAAGAAAGAAAGAAAGAAAGAAAGAAAGAGAGAGAGAGAGAAATAGAGAGAGAGAAAGAGAGAGAAAGAGGGAGAGAGAAAGAAAGAGAGAGAGAAAGAAAAAGAGAGAGAGAAAAAGAGAGAAAGAGGGAGAGAGAAAGAAAGAGAAAGAGAGAGAAAGAAAGAGAGATAGAAAGAGAGAGAAAGAAAGCAAGAGAAAGAGAGAGAAAGAAAGAGAGAGAGAAAGAGGGAGAGAGAAAGAAAGAGAGAGAAAGAGAGAGAAAGAAAGAGGGAGAAAGAGGGAGAGATAAAGAAAGAAAAGGAGAGAAAGAGAGAAAGAGAAAGAAAGAGAGAGAAAGAAAGAAAGAAAGAAAGAAAGAAAGAAAGAAAGAAAGAAAGAAAGAGAGAAAGAAAGAGAGAGAAAGAGGGAGATAGATAGATAGATAGAAATAATTAGGAGGATTTGAAATAATCATAATTAATTCATCGAGTCTAGAAGAAACCTCAACAGAATGCAGAAAGCACTGGACGGCCATTTTGTCCTCTATTTGGGACTCATCATCACTGCGCATCCACTACCGAGAATTGAAACCCGAAAAGGTACGATAGGAGGTAAACTCCATACCAACGGTACCAATTACATCGAAAACACGTCAAAATCGCTACACAACTGCCCTTGTATTTTGGTGTGTATCAAATGCATCTCATCAGGCGATTGTAAATTACTGGCGAGTGAACGATTTATTTAGATCTAAAAGCAAAATACAAACTCTTTTACGAAAAAAAAAAGAAAGAAAAATGGCGTTATAATGTTGTCGGCTTTTCCTAAGATCGACCAATCGAATATGATCTACGTTAAATTTAAACTAAGCGAAGAATTCTACGTTCTACAGACGAAGGTATACGTTGAATTACAGATGATTCTAACCACCCTCCATCTGTTAAACCAACAGTTACTTTCGTCTGTATAATGTAGGATTACCAACCGCTCATCGGACAAAGATATTTTTGATAAATACAGCGATGTGCACAATAAAGTTTTAAAGAATAGTGTTTTTTAAGTGCGCTGATATCAAGTATAGAAAATATGATGATAGTGGTCAAAAGAAAAGAAATAGAAACATCATTTGATACACACCGCCATTTAATCAGTTAGTCAGTACTAAATTAGGCCATAAGTTCCTGCAATTGATTGATAAACATTTTCCTAAAAGTAACCCTCTTAGTAAAATATCTAACAGAAACACATTAAAACTAAGTTATAGCCGCACCAATAATCTTTTAGAAAATCATAAAGTTGCACAATAATAAAATTTTAAACCAATTTCGTAATATAAATCATAATACAAATTCCAAGGAAAATATCGTTAATGATATTGGCCAATGTAATTGTAAGAATTCTGACCATTGCTCATTGCCAAGCAGATGTTTAACTAAATCTCTTGTTTATCTTTATACTATCTCTACAATAGAGAATCCGACGTTTAAAAAGTTCTGTATTGGTAATATTAAGAATTGTTTCAAGACTATGTGGTATCAACATATATTTTCCTTCACCAATAGTACTTACAGAAATAATACATCACTTTCTAAATATTTTTGGAGTTGGAATGATGATAATAAAATTCCTATGGTGTAATGGAAAATTTTGAAAATAGCAAAGACATGTAGATCCTTACATGAACCCTGTGTTTTTGGTGTTTACATGAAAAATTGGAAATCATCAGCTTCTTTGCTAAAAATGCTTTATTAAACCAAAGAACCGAGTTATCTGTAAATTGTAAAAACAGTCTATCTTTTATCTCACAATTCAGTTAGACTTGGAATTTGACAATGCTTTTTCTCAGGTTTTAGTTGAACTGTGTTGCACCATATGTGGCTTATCTTTCTATTTGTAAGATTAATGTGGCTTTAATATAATTTTGTATTAATCTCCTGGTAGTATTGGCAATATCTTCTACGGATGTATTGGTATTTGGTTGCTATTTTTGACATTTTGCATTGATTGATTATTGTTATTAAAATCTTATATAAAAAAAAATCTTTAGTTAACAGTTGCATATTAATTTTCTATGTAATTCTATACGTTTAAATTATTTACTGGTTTCTTAAAGAAGCTATTTATTTCCAAACTATAAAGATTTTTGTTATGTAGAAACTCACAAAGCATATAATCTGTTTAACATTTTGTTAAATTACTGCTCCATCTAATTTTTTTAGGAAATGACATTTTCTGGTGTGCAAAATAGGTATCCATTGACATCCGCCCATGTTTAACGTCTGTGCTGCCATTGACTGCCAACCTAGGAGTCACGGCCCAATTATAGAAAATAATTTCTTAATTTTTGCTTCTTCGTTTAGCTCAAATTTAACGTAGGCCATATTCGACCGATTGACTTTAGTAAAAGCCCACAAAATTTATAAACCCCCAATTTTTTTCTATTTTTCATTAAAGTGGTTGTATTTTGCTTTTAAATCTAAATAAATCGTTCACTCCCCAGTAATTTACAAAGGCCTGTGAGATGCATTGATACACATCGAAAGACGACTGCAATTGCGCAGCGATTTTCACATGTTTTCGATGTAATATCCTAAAATAAATAATATTGCTGTACTTTGTATTGAGCCGTCTTCAAATTAAATGATACGAACGTTGGAATTGTACTCTATTCATTCTCATCTTACCTATATATATATATATATATATATATATATATATATATATATATAATTTGTTATGAAGAACTTGGTAATCCGTATGAGTAATCCCAAGGAGGATGAAATCCTGAGAGCTCAATGTAAATCCAGAGCTAATATTTTTTTTCGTTTCATTTCATTTTTGGAAGTGCTATCTGATGAAAAGGGCTCTGGTGAAATAAATTATTATAATGGTACCTTCAATTGGTCTGTTTTTCTTCAATATATTTATATATAAATATATATATATATATATATATATACTTTTAAGATATGTTATATTCATAGGTAAAGGTGCTCAATATCAGAGAAAGAGCGTGTGTATCTTTTTACACATGTCAGCTTCATCTGTGCTACCCATTCTTTCTATTTCTGCATATTTATTTCCTCGACCAATTCCTCTTTAACCTTCCTTCCCTTCTTCTCAGTGCAGCGTCCTATATTCTGCGTTGTACCTTGGCATTGTTTTTGTCGCCTTTTCATCATGTCGAGAATTTCATCTGTGATCCATTCACACTTTCTCTTTGTCTATTTTTCTTCTTCTCTAATCTCCATTGCAGATGTTACTAAAGCGTCTCTTAATGTGTCGCACTTCGTTTTGTCTATTGTATCTGCTTTTAACACTGTCCATCTTTCACATTCGTGTCGTTCAGGAGTCTCTCGTATTTCAATATGGCTGCTGTCTTGGTCCTCTTCACTTTCCGTAGCTTCAATCTGTTTACACATCACTGGCTGGTGGTTTTCTCTCGCAGTTGGAATTTGGGTATATATCTTGCAGTGTCAAACTGCGTTCCTGAATCTGATGGTTATATTGTCGATGCGCTTTTCGTTTCTTCTCCTGGGCTTCTTCGCGTCCATATACATACGTTTTGGCTGTTCTTGAAAGAAGGTTTTCGCTGTGCACAATTTTACCCATAATTCGCCACATTCATTACAAGTCGGAATTTACCAACTATTTCTCCCTCCTTGCCTACTTTGACATTCAGGTCTCTCGTAACGGTTGTAATTTCTTACAATTTCCATTGAGCCTTGGTGCGTGTCTAGCGTAGAGTAGAACTTTTCAATTTCGTCTTCTGTACTTTATGCTGTCAGTACATAAACGTCTATGATGGATATGGTAAAAGGCTTTCCTTTGAGTTTAATGACAAGGATTCTTTCAGATATTTAACAGTATTTTCTAAGATTTCCCCATCCCTCTTGTTGCCTACTTTAGCTTTTAGGTCTCCTATGAAAATCATAATTTCGTTTGATTTACATCAAGCCTTGATATTGTCTAGTGTAGAGTAGGACTTTTCAATTTCTTGTTCTATACTTTTTTGCTGTCAGTGCATAAACATCGATGATGGATATGGTGAAAGGCTTTCCGTTCAGTTTAATGACAACAATTCTTTCAGATACTTGACACTAACTCATAACACATTTCATCATGCCTTGGTCTAATATCAGTCCTACTCCTCTTTCATTTTTCTCTTCCCACCCCCCGCATATCTGATCCTGTATTTGTCACTGACGAAATCTCCATTGTTTGTCCACCTCATTTCACAAACGCCTAAAATATTAACATTTCACCTCTTCATTTCCTACATTATATTTTGTAACTGGTCACATTGGTTTCAGCCAGTAATGTGACATGCGTGATACACGCTTAGGGGATCATGTATCTTTCGATACATGACTGACATGGCAGATTTTTTTCCCACAATAGGATATCATTTCTTTCTGCAGTAGACCAGTTGCCATCCAAGGCTTTAGAACACTCCCAGCTATGGGTAAACAGAAGAAAATGATTCATAACTTTCCCAATGGTATTAGCACGTAAGTGAATGGAATTGATTCGACTGGAATTCGAACTCGGCTCTCCTATTCCTCAATCCGTGCGGCTATCCATAAGTCCATAACTCCACCGTACCTTCTCACATTGGTTTAGTGTTCTGATATTCCATGTACCGGTAATTAGTTTTTTGCTTGAATATCACTGTTCTTTAAATAGCGAAATTAATGTATACCGGCATAGAGTTTGGAAGTATTATTAAATAAAATGGGCCTCATGATTGGAATCAAACTTATATTCTGTTGTTAATCCGTGGAACCAATTTCGAGCCTCATAATAAACGATCCAAGCAAAGCAAAGAACAGTTACCATACTTACGAAAGGAACATTACACGTTGGGACATTTCTTCTCAGGAGGTAGGTCCAAACTCTAGGTCGGTAGACATTTTATTCTTTAAACGAGGTAAGTCTACTCAGTCACGTGTCCCGAAAAATATAACATTGACATTAATAAAACATATCGGATTAAATATAAACCATTAGTTGTTAAAAACTTAATATTTATCTGTACGTGTGGTTAAACAGAAAAAAATGACCGGTGCTAACTTTGCGAATTCGTCCTCTGAGGTACGCGACGTCGAAGAATAGTTTTTCTTCTTGTCCCTTTTATTCCTTTAATTCGTTTACAGATACAGTCCACCTGAAAATAATTGACACACACATATATATATATGAAGAAATATAGTCTTAAGGTGTGCTATATTTATGGGATAAATCATGTAAAAATCGCTACAATTACAGTCGTGTTTTGATGCGCATCAATGGTTCTCATCAGGTGGTTGTAAATAATAATGTCTATAATTGGTAACAGAAGCCATTGGTTTACACCAACGGCTTCCCATACTTCATACTTCTCCAATTCACTCTCGCGTGGTCATGTGTGACGTCATGAGATGCGGTGCGATTTTCGCTTCTAGCGTCTTATATGCACGTGTTTATCATTGCTTAGAAATCATCTATGTAAACCATGACAGACTATCATCACTGTCGTGTCCGTATATTGCTTAATATGTTGTAATTGACGTCTTTGATAATGGCTTATGTAAGCCGAAAGCTTAGATTGTATTAAAAAAAAAAATATGGATCAATATTGTGAATTTCTTTCTTTGTTCAACGATAATGTTTTTTAAACTTATCAGACGTTACTAAAAAAAATTAACATAAAATAAATAGACAACACTTGTCTATATTATTTAATGAAACGTGCATGAATGAAATAAATGCTGCCTAAATACACACAATATATATATATATATATATATATATATATATATATATATATATATATATATTTCTGAAAACTCATATCTGCTCAGTTTAGTACCCGAATCGTAAACAAACCAATTTCTAAAGAACTATTGGATTTTTATTCATTCATCCAACAGATATTTATCACTTTAAACGTTATTTTTAGGGGATACTCATGGGTATATGCTGTAGTTTAAACAGTATATTTATTTTTGTCTACCAGCCTGAATATTCGTGATGCGTGTTCTGGCAGCATTCGAACCTTTGTCCCCACTTTGCAGAAGAATATATATATATATATATATATATATATGTATGTATGTATATATATGTGTGTGTGTGTGTGTGTAAAGAAAGAAAGAAAGAAAGAAAGAAAAGAAAGAAAGAAAGAAAGAAAGAAAGAAAGAAAGAAAGGCAGGCATGGACGGAGGAGAGAGAGACGCTATTACTGTATTTCTTTTTTTTAAATATAGGTCTATATGTATGTTTCTGGGTTGAGTGTTTAATTTTAAAAATTAAAAATGTTTTTTTTTCTATTGATTGTTCAATAAAACTTCATTTTTTTTCTTTCCACTTTGACGGATATCGATTTGATTGTAACAGAATAGAAAACGATTTGAGTCGAATCATTATCAATATTTGAATATTCATATTGAAATGAAACGAACTATTATTAACGTTTACTCGTTTCGGTTTTTGTCTAAAATTTGCCTCATTTAACGGCTGTTTTCATTGCTCTGTTTTCGTTGAAACAAAAAAAAATCGATTTCATTTTCTTTTACTTTTTAAAATACGCGTGAAAGACATTAGTTTCTTTTTACTGAAATCCTGTTTTCATGCTTTATGAATCTAAAAATAATTACTTCTGTTTCGTAATTTTGACAGATTCATTGATTTATTTTTATTTGAAATCATATTTTTAAAGAGCAAACGAAAATATCGTTTCGTTTTCATCGTTTCGTGTTTTACATTTACTAAGAGACATGATGTCCGGGTTGCGTTATAATTATCGACGTGGAAAGCAAAATCGGCGAGTCGAGTTCGAATTTCAGTTTAGTCTGACGCGTGCTCTTTCGCACAAATATTGTTAGAAAAGGCATGTATTCATCTTTCATCTTTTGGTTGATTTTATTTAACGACATATCAACACCTCTATGAGTTATTTAATGACGAAATCTAAATATTTTATACGTAATTTTATGCTTTCAACTACAGATATTTTGTACATAATTTTATACGTTCAGGGTAAAGGTATATTTTTTTACATATATAGCCTGTAAATCATAATATAAAGTCGATCATAATATATAGTCTATAGATCATATTAGTAATTTTTTTAATGTATTGCTAGTAATTTCATTACAAAAATGCATTGTTCGTTTTTTTTTTTTTAAATATATTGCTGGTAATTTTTTTATAGAAATATATTTTTATATATTTTTAGTGTTTGTATTGGTAGTCTTTCTGCTATAAAAATTATTGTTGGTCAATTTGTTATAAAAATGTACTGCTGATTTTTGTTTGGGGGTTTACTATTTACCCATAGCTGGGACCCAAGTAGGTGCTGCCACTCCGGATCAGGGTGAACCTGGGAACAAAAGCAGTTAAAATGAGGTTAGACGATCCTCAAATCACAATCTGACGATCCATTTTCATCTCCGAGCCGAGTTATATAGCAGCACAGGTTGGGAACAGGTCTAAAAGAACATTGAAGACAGCATCAGAAAAATCACAGCAGTTCACAGATAAGAAAAAAAAATCTGTGGAAAAACATGATTGCTTCCTCTTCAGCCAATTAATGGGACACGCTTGGGCGATCATGTATATTGCGATTCCTGACTGACAGGGCAGATTTTCTCGCAGAAGGTTACTATTTCTTTTTACGATAGACTGGTTGATATAAGACACAAACTGTCCCGCTGTTCAACTCATAACCAGATTGTGCTATAGGCCCCAAACTGTGATATTTAAGGTCGACTAGAAAGAATATATTGAGAGGCCCCATCCATAACCAAGTTAGGCCCCAAACTGTGTTAAGGTCGACTAGAGAGAATATATTGAGAGGCCATCTCCAAGTTGACTTGGCGATCTAGTCATAATTCTTGGAGTGACTTGTCTCGTCAATATGAGCCGGACACCATACAACAGTCATGTTAATGACGAACATCACGTTCCTTATGGCCCCACAAAATTCAGATACCTTGTATTAAACTACATCAAATCAATAGCTGCATCAACTGCGAAAAAAGGTGGTTCACTGTGTCCTACCAGAAAATATTTCTCTTCAGAATCCATCTTGCAAATTTACAAATCTACCATTCTTTCGTGCATTGAATACCATTGCCATATCTAGTCTGGTGCTCCTGTTGTATATCTAGAGATTCTTGACAAAATTCAAAGGATTCAGTCACTTACTCACCGAAGTGACGTGGCTTCCTTCTTTTCTACAAATATTTTCATGGCAAGTGCTCTGTTGAGCTTTTTTTCCCTGGTGCCTCGAAATACACGAATTTCAGCCTGATACTCGATTGGCGTATAGATCTCAATTTTTTACTGTTGAAATAGCTAAATACAACCGCCACTTCTACTCCAACAGCTTCATTCCAGCCTGTGGAATTCCCTTCCGTTTAATTGCTTCCTTGATAACTACAATCTTTAAAAATGTAAATGTAACATTAATCCCCATCTTCTGTCTTCTTGAATCCCGTTCATTTGTGTGTCCTTTCCTCAATGCTCCCTCTACCTAACCTTTTCTCTCACTTTCACTCCCTGTAACCCGCTGTGCACTAATGGCATTACAGCCTTGCTTGGGCTGAAATTATTTAAAAAATAAACAAGGTCACGATTTTTTTAGGGTGTGGAATTAATAAATGTATTTAATAAATGATTATCTTACCCAGGAACAAACAGAAAAAAATAACTTTCTTCGGGGTTTGAGTCCATCGTAAATGTGACTATTTTTACGTTTGTAAGGTCATCTCTTTGGAAATGGTGAAGTGACATTTCGATACGAATAGACACATTAAGCTAGATAGATAGATAGATAGATAGATAGATAGATAGATAGATAGATAGATAGAAATAAACTGGGATAGATAGATAGATAGATAGATAGATAGATAGATAGATAGATAGATAGATAGATAGAAACACACTGGGATAGATAGATAGATAGATAGATAGATAGATAGATAGATAGATAGATAGATAGATAGATAGATGATCTGGATCGTAGGAGATGAGGAGTAACGGGGTGTTTTTGTCATTACCGTGGTTATTGTGGCAGTGAGAGCAGCGGTAAATGTCGAAGGTGAGCGGTAGAAGTGTTCGTGAAAATTTGGGCTTTGCAGCTAAAAGATGTCAAACTGATGTAAAAAGACTGAGATATAATGAATTTGATATCGATAGATATACATGAACAGACGAAAAAGAGCTAGCTAGCTAGCTAGATAGATAGATGTGAAAAGACTAAGAAAGAAAGAAAGAAAGAAAGAAAGAAAGAAAGAAAGAAAGAAATCCTAACAGCTGTTATTTGAATTTAATTTGTATTTGCCTGATTTGGAAAACTAATCGCCTGGGGATGAATTAATTTCTCAAATGCGTAGTGATTCCTTGCGAATGCAAGACGAAAGTCACTGTTTCTCGCCTGTTCACTGCTCTCCTCTGTTAAAATACTGATCGCATAGAAGCTCATTCCGGGCGGAATTTATGTCTCTGTAAATCTACAGTAAATTGCCACTAGTGAAGTTTACTGCTATGATTTATTGCTGACATGAAACCGCTACACCCAGTCGCCATATTTAAAATTATCCTTCTTCTTCACTCATTTTCCACTTTATTCTTTGGAACTTTTAGTAATTTTAGTAGTCGTAGTATTAGTAACTTAACAATTTCTACAATCTCTTTATATACGAGTACTTTACATGTGTTCTTGCAATATACATTCGATTGCGTATATAGGCTTTGCTTACATACACATGTACCCATGTGTGCGCGCATGCGCACGGGTACATGCGACGCTACCAAGAATATGGCAGAGAGTGCCAATGGATAGAAATACGTTCATAGATAGAATTGTCTGAAAAAAAACGTAGTTAGGTTATGATCATATAGAGGGTGCGATGGATAAATTGTCGTCTAAATTACGTAAAAATGAAAATAACACTGACATTTCATTTTAACCGACATATTTACCAAAATTACGTAAAAAAAAATATCTTGAAATACTAGAGAGTAAATTTATTCAACAAAATCGCCATTGGTTTCAACCACGGCCTCCAGACGACTTCGGAATATCCTGCAACTGTTCTGGACGGTCTCTTTGTTTAAGTTTTTGAATGCTGCCATAATCCTTGCCTTCAGTTTATCTTTGGTGTTACAAGGAGATTTTTTTTTGGTCTCTCGCTCAACTGCGCCCCACACGTAATAATCAAGGGGGTTGCAGACTGTGGAGTTAGATGGCTATATGTAAGGGGTGATGTGGTCGCAGAAATTGTTTGAACGCCATGACTGGGTTCTCCTGCTTGTGTTGTATGGTGCAGAGTCCTGTTGTCAGATATAGGGTCTTCCAAAAGGCACCCTCATTAACCAGGGCAGCACAACCGCCACAAAGCCCTTGAAGTAGGCCTCCGTGCTGAGATTGAGTACCTCACAAATTGGAGAGTTCTTTTCGTCTCAGAACGATCAGAGTGAGTTTTCTTAGTTGTCGTATGTTGGTTACATTCATCTAGTCCTTTCCGAATCCTCTGAACTGTCCTCAGATTGACACTCATACCCTCTGTTTGTATTGGAGCTTCCGGTGCGAATGCCAAGCAGCACAGTTTGCCGTTTCCAAATTTCTGGCGGAGTGACTTGCGTCATGGTGCTTTTTTCTAACTGACGGTGCCCAAATGACCCTGCCATATTACGAAGTCGACAAAATAAAAAAAATTAACAGCGCATGCGCGAAATTAAATCTATAAAATATATGCCCATCGCATCCACTCTAAAACAAATGTCTGTGTGTGTCCGTCTGAGTGTATATCTGTGTGGGGTCTGCGCGTGTGCATATATGCACGTCCACATTTCTCGACCGATTTCGATAAAATTGTTCACACCTTTTGCAAATTTACCAACCTTAGATCAAGACCGACTTTTCAATCTCCAGGAACCCCGGATTGGGCAGAAAAATCGATAAAACTGAAAGTGGGTATGAGTTTTTGCAAAAACCAAGGCAAAGTTACACGTGAGCAAAATTTTTACTGGATGAGCTGATGTTCTTTGCACTTAATGCAAAACATCAGCTCATGTTACGAGGTTTATGTAGAGGGATTGATTATTTCCTTGCCACATTGGCTTCACACAAAAAATTGCAAAAAAAGAAAACTTTGAAAAAATCGATTTTTTTACCCTACTTAAAATAAAAACTTGAATAACTTCTTCATTTTTTATTCGATTTTCTTTAAAACATGTCGCAAAAAAATTGCTATCACGTAAGAAATAAGATAGTGTGGTTTTAGTCCTACTCGTTAAATGCGCATAACGAAAAACTGTTCAAAAAGGTCCATTTTTCGACCATAACCCCACTTTGGTTTTCATTCGATGCTTTCCAAATCTGTCATGTAAATTACAAATGACACACAAATTGCCTTGCGTGAATGTTTGGTTTAGATTATTTTAGTTAAGTGGACTACATCTGTGACAAACTAGGACTAAAATCAGCTTTTGCCATTTAGCCAATAGTTTCTTCACATGATTCCATCCTAAATTGGCATTAGAACAACCATTGATGCAAAGATTGTTTGAGAAGGAGTATTGAAGCGTTAAAAGGGAAAAAAACACTCTAAGAACTTCGTATTAACTCCAGCTTTACAGTAAACGTGCGAAAAAGAAAGGGGCGTTCACGCGTTTGCACTCGCAGTTGAATCAAGCTCTGAAGCTTCATCCTTGTTTTTGTTTTATTTTTTAGATTTGCGAACTATTTGAAAGTTATTACGTCCATAGGAAATTTACTGAATATCTAAAACATTGAAACAATTTAACCCCGAGCAACGACCACACAAGTAGGTTTTATCGATGGAATTCCTTTATTAAGAACAATCAAACACATGCGAAGGACATGTAGTAAAAAAGATGAGGATAGCTTAGTATACCAACGGATGATGCAAGCAATCGGGGACGCAGGCAGACATTTCTAGACAGAGATTGCGAGTATACAGGATCTGCGAGTACACAGGGGGTACTGTTATATACTACCTTCGCTAGTATAAACAAGTCTGTTTAATTTTGTATTGTATTTTTCCATATATTTTCCATTATTTTTATAATAAAGTGGTAGAAGTAGACGAGAATTTACTCTATACTTTTAGGTGAACTTACTACTACTACTACCCACGCAGCCCTCTCTTTACCCATCCCTTCTCTTTCACTTTCCCCTCCCCACTACCAATGAAATGTGTCCGTCCGTTGTATTTTCTCCATTTACGGAGGAGATTTCGACCCGAAGAGTTGAACATCTCGATGTTCACGAAATAAATTTATATTCGAAATGGATAATTAAAAGTATCCGTCCTATTCTCATCATTATATATATACATATATATATATATATATATATATATATATATATATATATATATATATATATTGCATCATATATATATATATATATATATATATATATATATATATTGCATTCACTTTTAATTGTGTATGTTTGTACGTGTGTGTTGGTTTCCTTCCGCCCCCCCTTCCGCCCCCCTTTTTTTCATGACAGACCGTGAAGATGTTCTCTGTCTCATCTCCTTTTGGTATGCGTATATATATATATAAATATGTCTGGGTGCTTATATATTAGAATCTGATTGCGTTTGTTTTACACGTGAGTTTAGGACCCCATTCACACACTCTTAGGATTAAAATGTATACATTGTCAAGGGACCGGATTTGAAATTAGCTAAAGTAACTTCAATGAAGAAATAAATTGAATAACATATATATTTCTTCTTTTCTCCTCAATAATTTTATAGTTGTAAACTTAATAGCGATTAAGTTTTGATTTTGAAATTAGCAGTTTTTAATTTTAATATTAAATTTTATCATATAATTTAGTAATTATTGGTTGGAATAAATTCTTTTTTAATACTACCTATATTTTAAACATCCGAATAGATATTATAACATGACTTCGTTGTCAAATTTTTTGAATTTTCCTATACTTGTATTTTGATTGGTCTATCTAGCTTTTGTAACAACGTTTTCCCCTTGTGAAGGATCGTTAATTAATTTGAAACTTTTAAAACCATTTACTTCACACTCAATATCATCACTTGATAAGACACCGAGGGTGTTGAAACTAAATGGCTATTTTTGTAGTGATTTTATAACATATTTATGTTATAAATTTTTTTAAATAAATAATTATATATATATATATATATATATATATATATATATATATATTGTGTGTGTCTGTGCGTGCGTGTAGGCAATACTTTTTTATTATTAGCTTCAAATATTCATCTTGAAAGTTTCAAATTACATTTGAAGACTTAGACTTTAAATAAGAAATATTACTGATCTGAAAATAGTTTGAAATTAAATTGATGATTTCGACTTTAATTAAGAAATATTACTCCTTAACCGTTATTCACAATATTAAACATATTAATATTAGTATTTTTTTTTTACTTTTTTTGTTTTTTGATATAATATTCAGTTTATATTAAATTCCTAGTTTATTTTGTGGAGAATTTAAACACTTAAATTACTATCAAACGTTAACCTAAAATATATTTCAAAAATTAAAAAATTTACAAATCTGTGCTTTTCCAGATTGGCCGTTATATGCCCAGATACGTTAATTCTCTTAATTTCCCTCTCCAAATTTATATCCCACTTATCATTCCTTCAAAACCCTAAGCCCATCTCTTATTTCTTACATCTTTACTTCTCTCTTTTTCTCTCTCTATATTGTTTCCGGTGAGTTGACCTATTAAATAGGTCAATGCCTGATCCTTACCCCCTTCCTCACTATTACTACTGTAATAAAAATAAATTTAAAAGCATTATGTCTCCCTTTCCTCTCTAATTTCGACCATGTCTGTCACACTATCTCTCACCAATCTCTATATCACCTTACATCAACTTAATACTACCCCTCAAAAGTGTAAAAAAATTATATGTAAATTTAAATTCATTTTTTCAATCTTGGAAGTGAGGTCAGATGATCCAGGGAAAAAGAAACTCTCTGGGGAAATAAATTATAACCATGGACCATTAAAGTTGTCTGTTTTCATTAAATTAAATTAATCGCTCTGATTTAACATTGAGCTCCACGGATTTCATCCTCCTTGGTATTATCCATACGGATTACCAAGATTTTCAATCTTATATATATATATATATATATATATATATATATATATATATATATATATATATATATATATATATTGTCGACTAGTACGTTTTTATAGGATAACGCACTTTAGGTAAGCAGATTTTCTAAATAAAGTGCTTAATATTAACTAATATATTATAAATAGCGAATAAATAAAAGAGAATTATCTCATTGACTTCTAGTTTCTTAAATGCCATCCCCTCCTTTAATTAAAATTTTCATTGTACACGTTTCTATACTTAACAAAAAAATCTTCGATTATATAATTTTTTTCTAATACACATAATAATTTCTCATTCGATTACATCATGCAATAACATTAGTAAGCAGAAACAACTTTAAAATAAGTTGACTTGAAAAATTATACTATTTACATTGTTCGGACTGTTATCCTCGTCTTCATCGTCACATTGACAACGTTTCGGCCATTGTACGCTCCGGCCTTCTTCAGTGTTTGAATTTCGAACATAACGCGTTAACAGTTAATCTATATGTTGGCGTTTCTGAAAATTGGTTCTGTGGCGTTGGTGTAGACGTTCTTCCCAAATATCATATGAATAAGGCCGGAGAGCACAACGGTTGAAACGTTGTGATGACAACAGACCTAACAGTGTAAATAGTGTAAATATTATCAGATATATAGATTGAAAAATTCAAGTTGAAAATGTTGAATAATTAAAATTCTATGTACCGTCTTT